ACATTTCACGCTAAGAAAGCTTTTAAAAAAGGAAAGGAAAGGGTTATGGGTGAAAGGCAAAAAGAATATTGATTAACTCACAAGTATTCTGACGGGGAAATGCAGGGATTCGTACGTGGAATCGGTCATCACGAAAGTAAAAGGCTGTACAAAAAGTGTGCAAGTAGTCCAAAGTTTATGTGCTTGGCGACGTGATTCAACACAGTGTTTAGCGATAACTTTCCAAAGTTTTGCGAATGGAATAAAGGTCAGTTACAGAAACGCTGCTGCCAAAATTTACTCAGAATTTATTTATAAAAGAGGTAAAAAACGTTCTCAGCTGATAAAATTGTTTAAAATTGTGAGCTTTCAACAGCCCGTCTGCTGTCTTCGACGGACAAAAATGAAATGATGAAATAGACCTAAGAATGAAGAAGTCTGCTGTCCGAGACAGCAGCCTGGCTGTTTAAAGCTCACAATTTTAAACAATTTTACCAGAGAACGTTTTTTACCTCTTTTATAATGAATCCTGGTATCGGATCTTCAATATTTTTAAGAATTTATTTACTTATGTTGAAGGCGATGAAGTCCGTGTTTTTCTGTATTTTGCTAAATGAAAACTATTGCTTGAAAGCTAAGCTTATGGAAATCAAATTCATTTATCGTGTTATGCATGCATGCATTGAATTTAAACTCAGAATTTCTGATAGAAAGAAATATTTTCCCTGCTTTTTTGACAACCCAAATTGATCAGTCAAGCCCAGCTGACTTTGTCCTCCACAGACCATGGAAAGCACCGAAAAAAGGGTTTTTATACTTCCATAATNAAAGCACCGAAAAAAGGGTTTAAAACTTCCATAATTTTAATCTCAAGCGTAACCGGAATCGGCGTAAAATTTTTGCCGTGGAAAAAACAGAGAAAACTTTGTATGAAGACCAACTTCTGGTCCTTTTTTTCCTTGCAAATTTCTATGTTGAGTGAGAAGATATTCGTTTTATTGATATCTCAACCAGTGAAAGGAAAAACTTTTTATTACATTTGTTATCGCCAGAGTTCCGAGTTCTCTAGTTCCCGCGTGGAGCTGCCACAGATCGGGAACCGTGGTTTACCGGTACAACAGAACATAGCTTTAGGAATCAGGCCAATCAGAGCGTGCGTAGTATCTCAGTTATTTTTATTAATCTGGGATACATTAGATAGTGAGTAGCCTAGCAGTGTGCCCTTGTTAACAAAATGACGGCCACTTCTTGGCGTTTTCGAAGTGTCTGTGAAGAGGATTAAGATAAAGTTCTGAACGGCTAGTAGATTTATACTAAAACAATTAGATTATTCGCTCTCGATTTCTATCGGGTGATAGTTGAAGAGGGCTGCGCCCTCTTCAACTATCACGCGATAGAAATCGAGAGCGAATAATTTAATTGTTTATTATTATATTATATTATATTATATTATATTATATGAGTAAACCATATTATATTATACCTC